GTAAATTTAGTTTGCAGATTAATTAGCCTAACTAAAACTAACATAAAAAAGTTTCTAAATTGAAATAAATGCTTTTTTTTGCTTAGTTATGAGATTTTTATTGTTCGATTTTTCGAAAAAATGTTCTACTTTTGGTACTTTTGGTACTTTAATCATGGAACTTTTCCTTTAAAGTCAAAAACCTTAAATAGAAATAAATAGAAATCCCATACTGAAGTATATAGAGAACAAAGCTGAGGTAAGAAAAGTTATGTATAGTAAATAACCCATGAATAAAGGAAATTTTTATCTTAATTAAGTAAACTTTAATGTAATGAAACAAAGCGCTCTTACAATGTGTTCTACCCTGTTTAAATCTATGTCTATTTCCATTTATTTGGAAAAACTCCAATTTAAATCTGATCTCATTAGTGGCTGTCCACAAATTCCATTGATTCAGAGGGTAAAGTGTACAGGGTTTTTTTTGTGATTTTGATTAGATGCCAATTTGTTTATGGCACTCGCCGGCCAGGCCGTAGATCATATATCCTCATATATCGCATATCGGTTAGACTATGGCCAGCACACTCCGGCTCGTCTTACATAAGCATTTCGATATTATTTTTTGGGAGCTCCTTCTCTAATGCGTTACGGATCCACATCGCGGATGGGTCTTGGATTACCCGAAATTTTCATTTTGGTTTTTACGATTGCCATAAAATTGCTGGCGGTTTCCATTGAACAATCGGAGAGACTTCAATCTGGATTAGCTTATTAATTTGTGTAATGTGTGCGTGAATGGTGGCCCTAGTATTAATTTATTCATTTATGCGCATAGAAGACATGAGAACACACACATACACATAGTTTTCAAATGGCGTTCCCTACACAATGGGCATTGTTCGCCCGCATCCGAGAGATACGGAAAAGACGAGAAGATACAAGCTCTGGAAAAGTGGTATTTCAATGCTGATGGTTGGATTTTCGTTCATTGGGGGGAATGGGAATGGGCGGAGTCATGGTCCACCCTTGCACAGAGCAGTGTGAGCGGGAAAGCTGCTAACTCGTTTCGAGTGAGTTTGTCATCCAATGCTGAGATTTCCACTCACTGCCAGCGTCGCTGTCGGAGCTCTCTTTTCCGGTCTTGAGTGAAATGCTGAAACCCGCTTTCCCACTCATTCTCTCTCTCTCTCTCTCTTTCTGAGACTCCGCCCACTGAGAGAAAACCTCCCTCGGGCTATATACGAGTTTTATTTTTTTCGATCCGTAGCAGTAATGCCGCTCAGTTGCCTGCTTGCCAAGTCAGTTGATTTTCTCGTTTCGAGCGCTACGGGAACGCTCGGTGCGCTCCGTTCCGGATATTAAGATATATAAATTCTATTTAACACTGCCGTTTCCCGTTCCTCAAGTCAAGCATTAATCTCACATCTGATCCGAATCGCCATTTGATTTCAAAACATACATCCACCTGGATTGGAATCTATCAAATCCAAAACGACGCCGCGTGTGTGTTCGATAATTCGTAGTTCCTAGTGAAATTATTGCAAAATTCCCGCACAATGGTCACCCTAATGCCATACAACTATGCTGCCCCGCGTTGCGGATTAATTGATAAAATGATCGAGCCAAAGGTAATCAAGTCGTCGGGATTTTCAATCCATCGGGGGAAGCTTTAAAAGTGATGTTGTGGTTGCCGTCGGTTATTGTTGTTATTGTTAGTGCTTATGATGCTGTCTGGCAGTAGCTTCCTTGGTGGTTACCCTTTGTGGGGCTTCCCCCACCAAATAGTGCTACTTTCCGATAATAATTTATGGCGCCTGAACCCTAAAAACCAATATACATATATAACCCATCCAGTTTGGGATGGTTTATGGCCTTAAAGGTGATCTATTGGGTGGTGTGAGACAACTCTTTTATAAATATAAATCTAGAGTGACACCTAAAACATGTTGAGATGTCAAGGTTTCATTGACAGCATCCTAAATTTAGAGAAAATAATATCTTCTCCTAAAAATGTCTTAAACTATGGAAGGTTTCCTCATTTTTAATTCTAGTTACCTGTTAAAGATTTATAAACACCTTGGAATCTCTCAGACTTTTAAGTTTCTCCAAATCCCGAACTCTCCAGCATTAAGCAGATTTTATATTTGCCACATAATTATGGAATGTCCCCCTTCTTCGCAGAGGATTACTACTTTTTTTATGGACCCAAACCCAAATAGAAGCATTTTATTGACTCAAAGTTGATGCTGTTGTTGGGAAAATCGTTAATGGGGATGAAGATTATAGACACCTGACCACAATTTTATTACATCACATTAATCGGCTTAACTCTGGTGCTGGCTGGGTAATGAAGCGGAGAGGTCAAGTCTTAAGGGCATTAAGAAAAAGTGTCTAAAAGAGTTTAAAGATGTTGCCAACTCTAGAGCAAACAATTAATGAACCCTTTAATTCACGTGAATTCCTATTGAGCTTTGCTCCAGATCATCGGAGGTTCGTTTCCTGGTGATTTAATGGAACTGTTTACCAAAAGCCAGCCGTTTTTATGGGTCCCTGAACTTCAACTAAGACAAAGTCCAGTTCAGACTTGGAGAAACGTGACGAACCTCCAACGACTGGCTGACGAGATGGTTAAGGCGAAATATTAATAGAGCATAAATTACAGCCCTAGAGTCCAGAGTTGGCCGCTTTATGGGAATTTAAAGAGCCTGGCCCACAAAAGACCGGAGCTGGGCTTCGCCTGGCCAGCGGCATTAATCACATTTTAATTAAGTTTAAGCCGTAATCGTAAAAATTAACACGCCATAATTCAACTGCGACAATGCGCGCTGCATGTAATTTATGACAAAGGCTAAGGCGAAGGAGAACTCTCCGAGTCTCAGAGTCTCAGTCTCGAATCTCGGTCTCTGCATTGGAAATATTGATTATGGCCCCATCGATTGACACTTGGCGATTGTTGATTATACTGCCTCGATTGTCGATTGTGGCCCGAACGTAATTAACGTGCCAAAGTGTTAAAGGTAGAATCCCTCGTCTTAGCCACCACAGAAACAAATTTTCCTCTTGTTTATATTGATGCTTATCGGGGAGCAGAGGGGGATGGGGTGGAGGGGGTCTTAGGGCCGGGTTAATAAAAAATTTGTCGCCGTCTTTGCCGTCTTGTCTTTTGTTTGCCTTTTGTTGCCTTGTGTGTGTGTTTTAATCTTCTTCTAAAGCAGCAGAAGAGACAATGAGATTACGATCACAGGAATTTCGTTAAAGATGCTCAAAAAACAGGTCTTTATATGTACGGGTATATATATATATATGTATATATATATATGTAGCTAGGGAACCAGCCCCTCTTCCTTGGCCACCTCTCTTTGGCCCCGACCGTTGTCTGTGTTAATGTTTACGTTGTCAGCTTGTGCCATAAATTAGTTTAGTAAAAGGTTGCATTTGGATCTCCCAGCCCGATCTCCTAAACCCTCCCGATCCTCCCTCAGTCACCATTTCATTATAATTTTTTGCATTCGGTTGCTCGTGCAACACGCAATGCTGATTCGCGACTGGGGATTCGCGCGATCCGGAATCGCAACTCCATGCTACCGTTCGGTATCCATCCATCTGTCCTCTGCGCATGCGCGTGTTCCTCTGTTCCGTCGACAAATTTGAGGAGCCTCCTTCAGCTCCTTCCCTTGCTGCTCCTCCTGCTGCTCCACTGCCTTCTCCTTCTCTGCCCCGAAGATCCCAGGATGATGGACAGTGCGTGCGTGTGGTCATTGCCGGACGGCAGGAGCTGTCAACTGAAGCCGCTCAGCTTTTTTGGGCTGGCCTTTTAGGGGCGGGACAGGAGGAGTGTGTGCAGGAATTCCAGCACCTGGGCTTGCCTCCTCCCCTACCTTCGATTTGTCTGGCTTCCGTTTGATTTGCATAAATTTATCCCAACTCGAACTTCCTTCGTTTTGTGTTTGACATTTTTCAAACTCGAAATAATAATTCTTAAAACCTTATTAACTTTTTTGATAGATTGAGGAGTTACCTCAGGAGGGGACTCTTAAAACTTCTTCTTGTGAATATGAAAAGTTTACTTTACTCAGGATTCTGACTTCTTAAAGACAACTTATTCAGATTGATTTGGAATATATCTAAATCTAAATTGTTCATTGACAAACCTTTTAAAAAAAGCAAAATAATAGGAAACTGACTTCTAACAAGGAGATGTAAAGGAAACTCCATTATAAAATCACAAGTTTGTTTTTTGTATTGTTATTTTATAAAAACTACAACACTGCTTAGAAAGGATTTCTAAACCAACAAAAGACTTAGCAAATATCTTCCCAAAACAGAAGTATCTCATTTTTACAACTATAAGTTGTCTCTTTACTGTTAAAGTTATTAATTGCACTTTAATTTAACTCCCTTGCATCTTTAATTCTTCTCTCTCTAATTTTGTTGTAATTATTTTATGGTAGATTCAATTTCAAAGCCTTGCAGTATCTTCAATTATATTTCACAGATACTTTTCGCTTCATAAGTTCTCGCTAAGCCTCTTTCAGTTAGTTATCAATCTTTGCCTTTAAGAGAGTGCCTTCCTATCTTGACACATTCTTATCAATATCTGGGACAAGGCTGTGACACTGCCACCTGCTTCTGAGCCCATTCTCTGTCCCCGAAATCAACTTCCCCTTAAATGGCGCCGAACATCCGAAACCCCGTAAAACTTTTTCCCACGCACGATTTTTTGCTGCGAAAAGCACTTGACGCAGCAGCAAAATTTCAAATTGCGAATTATGTAAAATTGACTGTTTTCTTTCGCCACTCCGGCAGTGGATAACCCACATAGGGTTTCAGCCGGTGGAAGTGCAAACCTCAGCAGGTGTTGGGCCGTTGTTTATAAACAAATTCTGTCGAGGGACAGCGTAAATTGCGCCTCGGCTGCTTTACATAATAAACCCCAAAGAGCCGACAAAATAAATAAATTTAGTATGTACTCTATCGTGTGTGTTAATTCTAAATGTTTTTTCTTGGCATATTTTCAGGTTAAACGTCCCAAGACCGAGCACACGGATACACATGAACGCAACCGGTAGGTTTTCATATCTTTAACTTATGTCTAATATTAGCAAAGTTCTTAACGAATAAAGTAGTTATTTATTATATTTTGGGGAATATTTGTGGGGATCATATAAAAATATATTGCTTATTTTGAAGACTCTTCTTAATACTTCTTTTCATATATGTCAGGGTCTTTCTTGTTTCATTTATTCTCATATTATCTTGGCATTTTCATCCTAACTATTAAATAAATTATTTTAGAATTTGTTACCCTGTATATCTAATTTATGAATCCTTGGCGAGGACCTTCAAGAGGTTCCCAGCTGTAAGCGTAGACAATTTGTAACAGAAAGAAAGGCAAACCCCTCACACTTTCCCGGGCGGCGCACCATCCTCAATTGGTTTCAATTGAAATGAGGCGAGGGTCGCTGGTGGAATGGATGTACTAGAATTTTGCATGTGGTCCTCACAACCTGACACATGCCTCGGAAGAAATTCAAAGAATTCCGTGCACGCTTCAGCTGCTCTGTGAGAGAGAGATCCCAAAAAGAGCTCAACAAAATAAGAAAGAAAAGATGAACCGAAAAGTGTCAGAGCACTTAACACTTGCCAAGAGGGGCAGGAAAGACTGGAGAGATTCCGGTGAGGAGGTCCAGGTTCAGGACTTAAAAGGGGCTTAAGGGCGGCAACAGTTGCGGCTTTGTCTTAAGGAACTCCGGAACGCACCGCCTCCCTCTTTAATATTGCTCATTATTATTTTGGTAAATGTGAAAAATCTCCCATTGGCCGCCATAACATGTGCGTCGGTTGAGGAAAACTCACTCAAAATGTGGGATCCCCAAGCGAAAATCTTGGTTGGCTTTTCCGCTTCCTCTCTTTGCCGGCGCACGCGTCGTTCTTCGCTGGGAAAATACTTTTCCCCCCTTTTTTTCGGTCAGCTGCTCCCCCTTTTTCATGCTCCCTTGTTGTGGCTGCTGGCAAGATAAATGTTCCTACTTCCATAACAAAAAATATCTCAAGGTGTCAGATTCCTTTGGTAATTGGGCACTTAATTTACCTTCCTATTAAAATTATGAAAAATTGTTACAAATCTTGTCTTGGCTGGAAGGAGGAGTTTCCAAAGAGGGGAGAATACGATGGAAGAAACTAAAGAGGCTTAGGAATTTGAAAGGCCTTTAAAGATGTCATTGAAGGGGGTGTATTAAAAGAAGAGGAAATTACCTTATAATTATAATAATAATAGAAATTCAGTTCTTTACAGTGGCTAATTATATTTAAAAATCTAGGAATCTTTGTTATTATTTCTTTTCAGTATTTAACACTCTTTTAGAAGATGTTAAAGATATGTTATGAAGTATGAAACAGATAATAAGTATAGAAAGCTGTATTGTTATACTATTTTGAAATACTAATTAAATACATTAAGTTATATGGGTTTTCTCATGGTATTTCATGTTCAACTTCCTAAATTAAAGCTCAAAATACTTTTCCAATATCAAGCAAAGGTACATATACGTTGCCATGTAAATACAGCTGCCACTCTCTATGATGAGGGACCGAGTAGAACTCCATTTAATTGCTGTGAAAAGGATTAAATTACCAAATATATATACCATCCCATTTGTCTCCCCTTCCGCCCTCGCTTACACATTATTTATATACCCCAACATTTTCCAGTGTTTTGATATTTTCCCAGTGATTTATTTCATTTTCCATTTGGGGCTCCATTTTATTTGATTTTTATTGAGCCCTTTAGGATTTTCGAATTTGTCCACTTAATTTTGTGTGCGGCAATTGATTCTACTTGAAAAGTAATAACGCCGAAAGAACACAAAAAAAATATACATCAAAACACAAAACGTAAAAAAAAGTATTTGTCGCCATTCTTTGGGAACCAAACATTTGCTACACACATGGTCAGGACGGGGCCGGCTGGGGCAGGGTCACCAGGGAAGCCATCAATGGGACAATGGGACTTGTCCGGGACAGTCCGCACATGCCAGGAAAGAAATGAAAAGAAAAGGCAAGTCCTACTACAAGCCTCTCAAGTGCCCCGAATCGATTCCGAGCGATTTCCTCCTCTCATCCCATCCAAAAAAAGAAACGGTCTGGCGACGGATGCGAGATCGTAGAAAAATATTTATAACACTTGACGAGATTTTAAAGACCTCTCCGCGTCGGTCCGGGCAAACCCAGCATCCCGGCTGGAACACACTTGACTCGGGATCTGAAAAACTGGGGAATGGGGAACCAGAAAACAAGGAACGACAACGTGCCGTTAATTTTATGGCTCTTTAAAGATTATTGGAAATTATTTTATGTGTTTTCCAAACGACTCAAAGGTTCAGTGTTTCTGTTCTTCTCTCCCACACAACGGTCTGTGTTTCCAAATCCATGTTACTGGTCTTTATAGAGGTTCCATGATCTAAAATCGAATTATTTTAAAAGGGATTTAAGTGACTTTCTATTGTTTATAATTTAGTTTATGCATTCATTAAATATTTTATTATAATAGGGCATTGTATGTTTAGGCATATTACATAAGTATAAAATACATAAAATTATAGAACAGGATTTTTATACATAGATTTACTTTAAATTTGTTTAAATTATATGGTTTAAAAAACAGCACATAAGATCGTTTCGCTTTCTTTCTATTTACATATAAATGAGAACATTTTTAAGATTTTTTTTATTTCTTTAAATAAATATCAACAGAATCGATATTTATATAAAGCGAGTTAAAAATCGAGAGCTGTTTTTTATAAATAAATTACACTTTGTCTGATGCATTATTATTACGCAGGTTCAGTTAATTATTCATTACCTTGCTCTTTTTACGTACCGCTCTTAATAATTTATTTGTAAGACATAAAGAGTGAATTTAAAAATAAGTACATTGATTGAGCAACAAATTACACTTAATTTGAGTTAATATTAACTGGTTCAGTAAGTTGTTTATTGCCTGATTGATTGATTTATAGATTTTATTTAATGTTATTCCTTGTTGATTGAATTCTTAATTGAATTTATATTACAAATGATTAAAATAAGCAAGTTTAATTATATAAACTCTATCTGCAAAGTTATTAACAGCTAAGACATTTATTATTAAAGTTCTTTTGAAGTTGCCACACACATCTCACCCTCATTCCAATTGCTTCCCTTATACTCACAACCCTTTAATCTTATCTCTTGCAGCCTCTGCAATCTGTCACAGCAGCAACAGCAACAGCAGCAACAGCAGCACCAACCCCAACAACAACAGCAGCAGCAACAGTCGCAGCAGCAACACACGCAGCAGCAGCAACAGCAGGCAACACATCCCAGCACCGTGTTGGCCAGCAATGGACCTAGTAGCGCCGGTGCCAGCATGGGCGTCGGTGTGGGCGTGGGAGTGGGCGTGGCCGGACAGTGCAGTCCACTGGGACTGCCGCCACAGAGCCAGCCGCTGCAGCCCACAATTGGATCGCTGGCCTCGCTGAGCGGACACTACTCGAACGGGAACAACAATCCGAATGTGAATCCGAGCAGCTGCAGCCTGGCAGCAGCCTCCAGCTTCTCGCAGTCCGTGAGCAGCAGCTTCTCCACATATCAGCAGGCGGGTAGTGGCGGCCCAGGCGAGGATGTGGGCGTAGGCGGAGTGGGTGGAGCCAATGTGATGTCTCACTGGTCGCATGACGCGACTGCCTCGAGTGCGGCTGTCAAGTCAGAGTCACGCAGTCCGGGTCAAGTGCATCCTGCGTTGGACAATGGTTCCGTGACCAGTGTCAGTGGCTCCAATCTCTATGGCTGCAGCTCGGCCAGCTCCAATCCCCTGGACGGCGGAGCGGCCACAGTCAACTCCTCCGCGGTGGCGGCAGCTGCAGCGGCTGTGTATGATGGCAAACATGATTATTACTACTACAACAGCATGCAACAGTATACGCCGCCACCGTTCTACTCCGGCTATGGAGCTCCATATGCGGCAGCGACGGCGGCCAGGCAGGCCAAGATGGAGCCAGGAGCAGCAGCGGCGGCGGCCTACCTCACGCCCAGCTACGCCTCCAGTGGCAACAACAACTCGCAGCTGTACAGCAGTCCCTATGCCGGCTACAACAACTTCGGGCAGCAGGACTACAGTGGTTACTACAACGAGCAGTATGGCAACTATTACAGTCCGGCCAACTACTCACCGTACGCGGTCAGCTCGCCCAGCTCAAGCGCCAGCCATGGACATGGATTCCATGTGGCTGCCTCCTCGAATCTCTCCGAGAGTCCCACGGACACACACTCGACGACGCCGGTGCATCAGACCACGCACTCGCCGCACTCCCCGCTCCCGATCTCACCGAGCGCCAGCTCCGGCATTGGACCACTGGGCTCTGCTGCAGCTGCAGCTGCTGCGGCTACCTTGAACTCCAGCGGTGGCAGCAGCGTGGGCACTGCAGGATCGGGAGGCGGTGTGGCGGCCAGCAAGACCACACCCACCGGCAAGACAGGCAGGGCGCGTGGCAGGCGCCATCAGCAGCCAAGTCCCACCAGGAGCACCGCCTCGGATACCGGGAACAGTGAGGCTGTGAAGCCGCCGGAGAGGGTGTTCGTGTGGGACCTGGACGAAACACTGATCATCTTCCATACGCTGCTCTCGGGCAGCTACGCCAATCGCTACACCAAAGACCACAGCTCCCTGATGACCATCGCCTTCCGCATGGAGGAGATGGTCTTCAACATGGCCGACACCCACTTCTTCTTTAACGAGATCGAGGAGTGCGACCAGGTGCACATCGACGACGTCAGCTCCGACGATAATGGGCAAGACCTGAGCGCCTATAACTTTGCCACCGATGGCTTCCACACGGGCACTCCGCCCGGAGCCCCGCCCAATCTCTGCCTGCCTACAGGAGTCCGTGGTGGCGTCGATTGGATGCGCAAGCTGGCCTTCCGTTACCGCAAGATCAAGGACATTTACAACAGCTACCGGGGAAAGTAAGTACACAATTGCCACAAGAGTGTGTGTGCGAACTGAATACTAACTGAATATCCTTTATCCTTGCAGCGTTGGCACTTTGCTGGGACCTGGAAAGCGTGAGGCCTGGCTGCAGATCCGCTCGGAGATCGAGGTGGCCACCGACAACTGGGCCACGCTGGCGCTCAAGTGTCTGAGCATGATTGCCCAGCGCGAGAATTGCGTCAATGTGCTGGTCACCTCCACTCAGCTGGCCCCGGCGCTGGCCAAGGTCCTGCTCTTTGGCCTGGGCAGCATCTTCAATATCGAGAACATTTACAGTGCGCACAAGATTGGTGAGTAAAGATTCAGAGATAAAGATGGATCTGAGATGTAACCCGTTTTTTCATTATTTTCCCTTCAGGCCAGGAAACCTGCTATGAGCGGATTGTGACTCGCTTCGGGCGCAAGAGCACCTATGTGGTGATCGGCGATGGGGCCGAGGAGGAGTCCGCCGCCAAGGCCATGAACTTCCCCTTCTGGCGGATCTCCGCCCACAGCGATATTCGTGCCCTGTACACCGCCCTCGATATGGGCTTCTTATGAAAGGCCAAACTTTAAGGCTATGGCCAACGTATCGTTGCGGTTTTGAGTACAAACAGCAGAGGATTTAATTAATTTATTTAATGTATATGTGTGCGTATGTGTGTATGAGTGTGTGATTGTGCGTGTGAGACATTAAACAAAAAATGGAAAATGTAAACCAGCGCAAAATAATTTAATTATTTTGTTTAAACCACTTATACTTTAACGCCAAGACTTTTTTGTATTATATAGTTTTAAAACACCTAATCAACGATCGTAACAATTCTCGCACGAAATTGTTTCAACTGTATAATTAATAAATTAATGATTTAACGATATATATGTACGTATTTAGCACCTTAGAGTAGCAAACAATAACAAACCGAAGCGGATCCTGGCAAAGGAGCGGCGGAGCAGCGAGGCAAGAGATATCGATCGGAGCAAACACAACAAAAATTAGTTTAAAGTTCTTAGTTTAAAGCAGAAGCATAACTATAATGATTATAAATAATTCGACAAAGCCGTAGTATTCAAATTTTAAATAACTATTATATAGCTGCATATATTAAACTATATTTAAAATATAAAACCAAGAAATAAAAGAGCAAAAACCAACAACGACGCACTCTATTAAAGCATAACCAATTGAGTTTAATTATTGTTGAGCTTCGAGATGAGTATTATATTATGAAGCATAAAGCATTAAGATAAGCTGATAAGCAGGTCTGAGCGATATTCTTATTGAGTGAAAAGTTTGAGCTTGCAGCAAAATAAATTATCCCTCCTCTCTCTTCTGCGTGACTGGTGCTTCAAATCGGAGAGTTAATAAAAATGTACTGAAAATTTCAACACTTAAGCCTGGATTTAGACTACAACAACAATAAAATTGTTGTACAATAACATTGTTTTAACAACAACAATTCTTTTGCTAAGTAAGTCTCCCAAATCTTAGAACTGTCACAATTTTGAGTAATAGGCGATTACAGAGCAGGAGAGTGAAGATGAGTTAAAGCTGATCTGTGGAATGAGTGAAAAAGAAGGAATTGAGTGAAAATCACGGCTTGCACTAAAGTACATTCTCCTCTTCTGATTCTGTTCGCCTGGTACTTCTAATCGGGAAATTTATGAATTTGTACTGAAAATGTCAAATTGAAGCCTTGTATTGCTTTACAACAACAACAAAACTGTTGTACACCAACAATATGTTTACAACAACATTACTTTTGCTAAGTACGTTTCCCAAAGTCGTCCAATTAATTTCCTACAACAATGACAATAATATTTTTACCACAACAACAGTGTTCGTAAATAAATAGATTTTGTTCAGTGTACATTTGACTGCTTTGTTGTGGGAAAAATTACCAAGCAGTGCCAGAAAGCAGTGCAGTAATAGCCATTGGCTTAGCCAAGACAACCACAAATGCCATCTCGTTCCACACACACACCATCTGTGGAACCTAATTTCCGCTGGTTGCTAGCTTAGCTGTGGCGCAGTTTTTGAATATTTAATTAGGAATATTAAACATTGAATTAAATATAATTTTATTATAGGCAAACAGTTAAAAACTAAGCGCATTTAACTCCATACTCCGTCATTCTATATCGGCATCAGCAACTTTTGAAATAAGCAAATCGAGTTCTTCAAATAGTTCCCAGAAGTCAGAAAGATAGCTTCATTCGGCAAAACCATCCCAAAAGATTCAATAAGTACAATAAGCTCTTCATTATTCATTGTTTATTCAGTTGGTATCTTGCTTAATAAGTGTAATTTATGCAAATATTGCTGGATTCATTTCATTTTATTAAATAATCCGATTACTCATTTAACATCGTGTTTCCAATTTGATCAATTTACTGGGCCTTCGTTTTGGAAAAAGAAAACGAATTTAACTCAGTTGTATAATGTAAGGACATAAAGTATAGTACAATTTAATTACAATTACAACTAAATAACCATACAAATAAATTATGCCTAGGGAAACTTATGCTTAGGAGTTGAGTGCCCATTGCTCCTCTCGTACACTTTTACAGATATATAATTTGCTTTAGGAAATTCGTGTCTAAATTGATTCTAGCGTGATTAAATTGTTCGCATTTCCATTTGATAAATATTGCACAATTTGTAGTATGCCAAACACGGTTGTATAATTATTGCATCTCTAGTATTTTCGAACTCGTTCAATTTTGACTCTGACTCTGATACGTTTTGGTTGTGTGTTAGATGCTAAATCACTGGATTTCTATGCACTTGCTGGTTAAGCTGAATTACAAAAGTTTCTGCCTAAATAATTTACATCAAAAAGCCAAGTAAACAATCCACAATATGCAGCCCTATATAGACTAAACTTTCAGTTATTGGTTGCTTAAGATCTAGGCCTAAATGTAAATCTGATATTCGACTGGTTTTCGTACCGTTTTACGCTCTACACAAAATTCGCCAATTACTAAACTTATGCATTTCATATTGTATATTCAGTTTATATATATTAATAACTATTGCTCAGTTAAGTGTGTTTGCGTGTTCAGCAAAAATGTGCCAGCTATGAATTGAGTTTTCACAGTGCATCCGGTTTCCCCTCCTCTGGCCACTCATTGCGCCCGCCTCTCAATCACTTCTTCCGCTCCGCTCAGCTCCTTTCCTCTTTCTTTTTGCTCGCTCAACACGACGATATCACAACAAAATGTACCAAGTAGAAGAATTAGTTATCATTATCAGTTATCGTTGACGATAGGTCAGCTAACACTATGCCCGTCCGCTTCACGTGAATGGCGGTGGCAGCACCATTGGATCGAAGCTCTGCTGGAGGCTGGAGAAGTTGCTGAAGTTCTCGATGCGACGATAGCCCCACATGTCCATGGCATCGACGCAAACATCCTGGATCTGCTTGATCTGAAATTGGATAATTGAGGAGTTAGACCCAGTAATTTAGATAGATATACTCATTGTAAATACTTACCTCATCTGGCTTTAGATCCTGCATCCAATGGAATGGTGCTGACCTGGAATCACGATAGGTGGAGCTGACACCGCCAATGTTAACCTTGGTGTGCGTGTCTAGGAACTCCTCGACGGCTGGATCGAATGGCAATCCGTAGAACTGCAAAATGTCCTGTGTCATTTCACTGGGATTCAGTGACAAGTCTTCATAGCGCAGAGTCCTACAAAGGATAATAGTTTTAGGAGTTATAATGTAGATTGTGGAAATATTCTGCTAGACTCACCTAAAACGCGATGGATATTTTTGCAACAGCAACTCGGCTGTCTTGTAGTCATCCTGAAGATCCTGGCAGACGAGTCGCGGATCCTCGCAATCCTCATTGCCACCGCACCATACTCGATGCCGCCTCGACTGCATCGTTCCTCGTGGATCCCGCACCAGAAGCACGATCCGCACACTGGCCATACTGCCGGACGGTTGAGGAGAGAAGGGAAAAAACTTGTTAGAATAACCATATAGATAATCGCATATATATGTGATGAATGGGATATATAATTGCTAGCGTAATAGTTGTGCACCAAGCCGTGAAGTTCACTTGCCATAACAATCGCATGAGGGAGGGCGGAGGACGGCCGCCTGGAATTGGCTTTCAATTAAATCGGATTAAAACTTCCATAATGAAGCATAATTAGCATTTTCATGGGGCTCAGCACGAGCTAAATTCCAGTTTTCAGTCGAACTCCAATGGTAATACATCGTCCGACCCAAAATTGTTTTTAATTACAACACTCAAATGTATCTCTGTCAGAACCCCTGCCCTGCTGCCCCTCTGTGCTGTGCAGCTATTGCATTTGCTAATTTATTTCATGAAAATGTTTTTCCTAAGCGGAAGCAACAAAACGTTAATAAAACGGCAAGAGCGGAAACCGGGAAACGTGGTTGCTGGAGGACCAAAAGTGGCAATGGTACAGCCAACACTGAGTGCCAAACGCTCAAAAAAAGGTTTTTCCTCTCTTGCTAGATAATTAGATAACTGATTCGGTAATTAAATGAGTATTTAACAAATAATCTACATTTGAATCACCGGCTTTAATGGAAAAGTGTAAAATGTGTCATGATATTTAAGCTATGGAATTAATGAAAAATATTTCTGTATATTAAATGGGATATAGAAAATATAGAAATATAGAAAATGATTCTTACTTGCTATTAAATTATTTACCAACAAATGCGTATACAAGTCAATAAATTAATACTTCATTTTTTGTCAAATATTTAATATATAAAGCAAGCATATAAGTTGGTTAATATATTTAATTTATTTAGCTCCTTTTTGGTATTATAAAATGTGAAATCTTTTGGTCCTATGGAAAATAATTAAACTGAAACCAACATGAATTTATTTTGTTGATTTAAACCATAGGACTTAAGCAGCTACAGCTGTGAAAAGGTTCAATATAATTTCTTAACTCAAAAATAAACCTTAATATTAACTTTCCAAAAGGTATCATTTCCATTTACCACAAAACTTCGTAGTCTATTTAGCTAAATTCCTTTCATCTTCCATTCATTTTATCTCTTGATTTCTCATTTGATTTTAGACATCTTAACCACAAACACAAATTGGCACTACCGAAAATCCACAATCCTAATATGCAATCCAGCAAAATAAATTATATCCAGATGCAGCCGGCTCCCAACCAGCAGTAGCATCAATGTGCATCATCACCATCATCGTTATCATCGTTATCATCGTTATCTTCATCGTTGTTGGAGCTGCATGACCGCAGGCAGCAGTAAAACTGTCAAATCTCCCAGCCACCCACTTAACCACATTTCTAATGAGTTTGTAGTGAATTGGAAACAATGTAAACAGCCATGCCATCAATGCCGAATGTGACAAATTACAGCAGCTCTTTAAAGGACGTTTTTGAAAACCAAAATTAAAGAGATCCTGCGAAATTGAATATCATCGAAGCAATAGTTGAGGGACCCAGAAATCATGCAAAAAAATTGACAACAGCTGCCACCGATGATGCCGATGGTGAGGAAGGGTGCAGCAGCGCGTGCTGGAATAATAATACTAACAATAAGAAATAACACAGACCCCCAGCACCAAAATAGGACTCTCCTACTGTGGCAGCAGTGACAGCTGCAAAAATACCAATGCCAAAAAGTTATCCAAAAGCCGCCAAAAACTGAACAAAAGCAAGGGAGATATATTTATGTATGTATATAGTAGAAAACCAAAATGGGGGAAATATGCATTCCATTTCTTTAATTTAAAGCAAAGTTACATGGGAAACAGAAAGAGATTCCCACCAAAAGTACAATTGGTTTTGGTGTAAAAAAAAGGATACGAGGAAACTATCATGCAGCTCTCTGAAATTGTTCTTGAAACCAACTTTGAAAATTATTAGGTAACTTTTATACAATTTAAAAGATAGTCTGCAAGCCCGATTAAACGATTAAGAAATTACTTAAAAATATCCTTACATTAAAGATGTTTATTAAAAGGAAAATACCGATATTATTGACATATGATATCCTAGGTATATAATGATCAGAATAATATAAAGAATATAGTAAATAATTGATGTCAATTGAAAGATAGAAACAACTGAATTTCATGTTAAAATATTGATATACAAATTTTGTACTTGTCTTTTAATCAATCACTTGTAAACAATTTTTGTTAGTACGGCTTATATATTTATTTCCAACCATGTTTAGCTGATTATTTGGCACCGTTTCATATATTAACAAAATATTTATTTATCATTCATTATATAGTATATTTAAATACTGATAAATCGAAATATTGGCCTTCACATCGAATGAATATTGAAACAGTAACGATATGTTTTGCTTATTAAAAAATTGCAACATAAGCTATAAGTTGATGAACAGCATTTTCACAAGCTAAATAGCATGACAAATTATAAATGAATAAGTAAATTAAAGCTACAAAGTTATGATAAATAAGGTTTTTAATAATAATAATAATATTCATAAACATTATGTTACTGCAAAAATTGTGAAATTTCGTTCCAAAGCACACGATCAACAGTTTGCAATTACATCAATGCAGTCAAAATGGGCATTTGGATTCGATTTCTTTTGTACCATTTCAAGTTGAATGATTTTTGTGAAGTGCACTTGCAGATGGACCCAAAAAATACAACACACAATACCAAAAAAAATTGCTGAAGGCCAACATGAATTTCACTTTCAGTTCAGCTGAGTAATTTGAACTGTTTTCATTTCATTTGTATTTTGTAATTGTGCGAACAAGAGACACTTGGCATGTCTAAAAATATGCATAAAGAGTATTTTGCATAAGAGCTAAAACAAAATATATTACGAATCAAATGGCCTGTCGAAGAATTCTCAAGTGGATTCCGAATCGTTTTCGACAGATAGTTTGTCTAGCATAAATTTAAAAGTAGCCACGATTTCTATTTGAATAAAATAATAATTTGTCTAAAGAGTATTACCAAATATCTTACTGGCAGCTTTTTTTAATTGGTGACTACATATGTGAACTCTGGGGATTATATGTATATGCTTTTTGCTGCATTTTTTATTGGGTATTTTTCCACTTGATGGCCATAATTCAAGATGGCTTTTAATTTAATTTTAATGGAGTTGTGGCAATGCCTCGCATGCCATGCATTAAGTGCTTGTTAAATGCATTTAGCCCTGGAAATAAATGTTCATGAAACACATAAAATAATTGTGGAAAAATCAGCAGTTGAAACTGCAGAAGCTGCCGCAAATTCGCATTTGATTCCTCGCCACTTTGACCCACTGACAGTGGCTTTTGGCGACTCGTTGTTGGCCCCAAAATGGCAACAAAATAACAAAATAACAAACCCCCAAGCTTCTTAGCATCTCCACTATTTCTGACTCACTGTTGGCCTTTTTATATTTCTTTTTGTATATGTAGTGTTTTATTTTTGTTATTTTTTGTTGGGTCTGCAGCAGTTGTGCGCCGCATTCTGACACAATTCCGTAGATCAAAAGGCGCAAAATTTTGCGCAAAATATACGCAAAATTATTCTAGAGAAGACCAATCAATACCAATACCCATGGATGCCTATAAGAAGCGGTCTTGTATGGTCTGGTATGTGGCCCAAATGATGGCCAATAAAGAGACGTTCGTAGTTCACAGTTAGCCGCTTCGGAGAGCTGGCTTAAGTTTATTGTTGAACACATTTCGGGGTCAAGCTTGGCAGCGGCAAACCTCAGACGATTAATCAATATAATAGGACCGGGCTCCGCTTAGATTCCACTGACCCCCAAAGCCGATACCCAACTACTATTATTTACATAACTTTTCTTCGGACAAAACAAAAGTAAAAGTCGCTCACGTGTTGCTTGAGGCCTTGAACTTTTCCTCAGGTGAACTTTACGAAGTGATTTGAATCATTAGAAAGATTTCTGGTTGTATTTTGGCTCACTTTGGAGGCTCCTTTTCCCCATTAAATCCCCTTTCCGTGGCTGTCCCACTTCTGGCATGGCCAACAAGTATCATTCGGTTGGGCTACCATGCGTGTGCAGATGTCTCGCCTTATAAACCCGCGAGAGCACTAAGTACGGGGTAATTATTTTCAGAGGTTCGCCCGGCTTAGGCTTGACATAAGCTGATAATGTTGATTAATGGCTGCTGGGAAAGCCAAGAAGAGCCGAAAGTTGGAAGAGTGGAAAATTGGGAAAGGCTTTTCCCAGCTAGAAGGTAAGACTTTCTTACAGCGATCATCGGATACTCATTTCCATCACTGCTTCCAGCTTTCCCTTCTTTTTCTAAAAAGTATTTTTAATACTTCTCTTGACTCTATAAATTCATGAGTTTTTTTCAATCAATTAGGCAATTTTTAAATTGCCTTTTTTATTTTCCCTCGGGCAACATTTATTAAGCAGTGAAAATCGTATTTTTTAAAGAATTTTTTCACGACGCGTTGAGTTTGTTGGCCGAAGCTGAAAAAATATTACGCATACGCTCCGTTGGCCAAAGGCCTGTAAATATATATATATATATATACATATACGTACATATATGTATATGTCTGAGCTGCGCATGTATGCATGTTTATTTATAAAAATATGCATAATTGTCGCGTGCGGGTTAAAAAACGTACAAGAAAGAGAAAGAGGACAGCAAGAAAAAGCACAGAACGTCGATGAAAACAGAGAAAAACTACACACAACTTTGCAAAAAAATAAATATTTTATCTATTTTTAGATTAGATCTGTCAATATCCCCGTGTTTTGCTCGCCAATATAGTAATACTTTTATTATAAAGTGAATTTTAAATGCCTTAACAAAAGAATTGAAAATATTTAAAATTTAATGAAAACAAGAAAGGAAAATAACATCGGCAAGCTCAAGTTTATATAGCATTACAGTTTGAAAATTAATTATAGCATCGAATTGAATCAATCAATAATAAGCTTATTGAATCAATATTTGTCTATATTTTTAAAAG